TACATTTCCCCCAAAAGCTTGTTCCCAGAATCATCTATGTGAACCCAACAAGTAGTACAAACAATGATCGAACCTATTTCACGAGTAGGGGGCATCTGGGGAAGGATGGCTGCTTCACCTCCCAGGCCCACCCTCCTGGCTCCATCAGGGCTGTTCTTTATTTATTTCATAAGCCCTTTAACATCTTCATGCCACGAAACAAAGGTAAGTCATGTCTCTGTTCATTAGGTACAATTTTTTAATGGCAACCAACTGTCACACTGTCAGCTTTCATAAACCTATGGTGAGGTTCCTATGGTGAGGCTAGGAAAGCAAACAAAACACTAAATAGGCAAATGCACACACACACACACACACACAAAGTCTAGGCCCATGGTATCCTGATGTCACTCTTTAGGGCATGATAACAACTATGAAACAGGGAGAAGTCTTTGAAGTCCTCGGATGAAAGGTTTTACCTAAATACAATTATCCCATTAAAATCCACAACAACACTGCCATCAAATAGGGTGGCCCTTTCATAAGCATTTCGCTGACGATGAAGTTAGGAGATGACAACTTCCTTGTGATAAAGGGGATTTAAAATAGTCTCCAGTGATTTTGCTACTTTTTTATCGAATTTCTAAAAGGGCAAATGGAAAAAATTGTTTCTTTAATCAGCGGGCAATAGCAGGCAGTAAAAAGCTGACTCATGGCATTTTAGAGCCTCATTCAGAGTGAATGAAACATTCATTAGAAGGAAGGGGAAGAGCAGGAACTTGGTCACGAGGAAGGAGGCAGACCTGGCTCAGGTGGCCCTGCCCTCTCAGGGCTGGGGAGAATGGGAGAGATTACACGGCAACCCTCCTGAGCCTCAGACAGAAGGCCCAGGAAAAAGAGGGGAGAGACGTTTTTAAAAAAAAACTTGGAGCAGAAGGCACTGCAGAGGCGCTAAGGTGCAGGGCCAGGGCTGCTGAGGGGTTCTGGGGGCGCTCAGTCAAGCAGCAGGTGCAGGGTGGGGGCAAAACCCCACAGCATCAGACAGGCCCGCTCACCCTCCAGGAAGCTGGCCCTCAGAACACAGAGCAGCTGCACAGTTTATAGCTCGGAAGTAAACCTAGGACAGGATATTAAGGTAAATGAGAAGGGGCCACATGGCATTGTGGAAACAACACTGGAGTTAAGTCAAAAGGCCTGGGTTGTGACTTCGTCCCTGTTCTGTCACTTATCAGACTGTGTGACCCCGGGCAGACCACTTACCCTGAGTCTGTTCTCACATCCAAGGAACAGAACCAGCTGCCCTGCCTACCTGACAAAGGTGTGGTGGGATAGAGCTGTGAATGGGATGGCATTTTAAAAGAGGTGTGAGCATATTAAGCACTGTATCAGTGCTGATGGGGAGACCACACCGCTGGATGCTCAGATACAGAATTCCTTCTCACGTATTAGACTTGAGATATGTATATGCTTACGTATGTGTATGTATGCACGCGAGCATGTATACTTACATACCTAAAGTTATACTTGTATATGTAATTACATAATATAGTTATGAATATGTAGTCATAGATGACTTACATAATACACACATATATAATCATTTAAGTGATTTGTATCATCAGATACAGACATCTGTATTTCATGTTCAATCTGATTTATTCTGGATAGGTGCTGAAACTAACTTGGTCACCAGAAATGCTCAGGGCATTTCCAGAAAAGCATTGAGAAGATGACCCTGAATCTAAAAGTCCACAGGCCACCTGGGAAGGTAAACACACTATCTGGATGAAATGGCTGCAGTGTCCTTGGACATGGAACTGACTCCTGGACGCTCACAGCTTAATTGAGGAAATGGCAACTTACCCAGAAACAGCCTGTGAACAAAACAAGGCAGTAAAATCGGTCAGCCCAGGCCAACTGTGTGCTCTACCTGGGACTGAGCAGTGGGAATAAAGACAGTGGCCTGAACAATGGACATGGGGATGACCAGGCCACGTACCGCGGGAGACTGGGTCCTGCGTTTTGCAAGGCCAAAGGTTGTTTGCAGGGTCAGGGAGTCACGGCCCACCTGGCCCACCCTCCACTGTCGAATTTTCTTTCCACCATTTCTAGCATGATCAACATTTACTCAGGACCCAACATGCAAGAAACTAGGGGCTAGAGAAAAGGAGCCACATTCTCCCGAGGAGTGAGAAAAACAGGTAAGACAGAAACAGCTTAACACCAAATAAGTAATATTGATACTGCTACCAAAGGAAGGGGTGACAGCAGAGGGCCAATAAGTCTGGCTGGGAAAGAAAACTAAGATTCAGAAAGCTGAGCGTTACAAAGGGGTATTACAGACAAGAAGTGTGAATCAAGACAGGTGTGCACCCCAATGGGAATATACTTAACACTACTCGACTGTACACCTGAAACGGTTAAGATGGCAAATTTTGTATTTTATCACAATCAGATTTTTTCAGTTTTTAAAAAAACAGGTGTTTCCTTTAAAAAAAAATTTTTTTTAAAGAAGATATGCATACACACTGCCATTGGTACTAAGCAATAAGCTGACCGGTCTGATTTTGTAGCGGGTTCATGTAGAGGCGATGGGAGATTCAGTAAAGTAGTAGATTGAAGCCCGGCCAGTATGTCTCAGTGACTGAGCATTGACTTATGAACCTGGAGGTCACAGTTTGATTCCCAGTCAGGGCGCATGCCCGTGTTGTGGACTCGATCCCCAGTAAGGGGAGTGCAGGAGGCAGTGGATCAATGACTCTCATCATTGATGTTTCTCTCTCTCTCCTTCTCCCTTCCTCTCTATGAAATCAATAAAAACATATTAAAAAGAAGTAGATTGAAGCTAGATGGAAAAACCTCATGCCAAGCAGGATTTAACAAGCAGATGCCATACCTCTCTTTAGTGGTTTCTTATTCACTGAGTATTTAACAGAGCTACTGGCAGATTCTGAGAACTGGACAAAGAAAGTTGGTGACACCTACAGGAAGGAAACTAGCAGAGGGTGAGTGGAGAAGAGACCCAGTCAAAGGGACAGGAGGTAAGAAGAATCAATAAATTAAAATGCCATCGAAGTCAAAAGGGAAAAAGTCCTGGGAAAGATGCAGTGGTTATCAGTGTCAAGTACAAGAGCAAGATTAAGAAAGAATAGGAAATGTCTAAAAAAGAAAAAGATCTCCAAGTTCTATGGCCTTTCGATGCAAGGTTTCTGTCGGGTGATGAAGATGTCAGAGGATAAGGATAGGGTGTCCAAACTAGGACGCCTGAAGAGCAAAGGGAAGTGCTGTTGCTAATGTATCAGGATATCAGGCACGGTTACCTAGTTAGTTACCTAGAGTCAGTAGGACAGCCAGGAAGGCGGCCGATCGCAACTCACAGGAATTGGCCGTGAAAAGATAAACAGGACGTGAGTCAGAAGAACTAGTAGAGATGAGAGGATTTTATCAGCTACTTATATGGGAGGCAGGGAGGACGTCTGGAGGTTTTGGAGAAGGGAAGGAGTGGGTGAGAGCATCACGATGTCCACATTTCCTGCATGGACGGTGAACGGGGGACTGGTCCTGCAGGAAACAGGAAGGAAGGGGCTTCGCAGGAAGGGGGAGGGGCCTTCCTTCCTTTGTCACACTACAAGCAAGAAGAGCAGGTGCCTAACAAGAAAAGGCAGGCCAGAGCGCTTCATTTCAACCCAGTGAGCCACAGAGGCTGTGCTGCCAGAAAACAATGCGTTTCCATCCCCAAATCAGCCTCACCATGGACTTCTGTTCAAGGGAAGAAAGTCAGTAAGAAAGTGAAGGTAACTCTTGGGAGTTCTTTAACACTGATTCCCGCACAGATGGTCAGAACTAGAACAGTAAGGAAATAAATCCAGGGTGCAACATGTAATGTCGTTCAATGCTGAGCAATTATTTTATTTATTTCATTTCCGGTGCATCTAAGTTTAAACTGGGTAAGGAAACAATAGCTGGTGCTGGGATAGGAAGATGTGACATACTGACTCGGGGAGGGAGGGGACGCGCCGAGCAGAGATGGAAGACTACCAGGCTGCGGAGGAAACTGCTCTGGTTGCTGATGAAGTGACCAACGTCACGTGAGAGGCTACAGAAAGTGCCATCGGTGGCCCCGCCAGCACAGCACGGTGAGTCAGCGGGCCACAAACATAGAACAAACTTAAAGCCAACTCACCAAGCTGGGAGAACCATCTAAAACACTGTGCTCTGAGTAACTGTGCAGAAGAACGGAGCAGGATTCCACAGGCAAGTTCTTGCTTCTCGGCAGCTCCACCGACAGGAGCTGCCAGGCGATGGCAGAACAAGACCACGTGCTGCACCATCAGCGCCTCTGGACTGTCCATCTGACCCCCTCGTCTGCCTGGCTCTTCCTCCTTTTGTCTCAACGTTTTTCTTTCATTTTCTAACCACCAGCTGTGAATTCAGTGAACACGTCTCCCATTCTTTCCGTGGCACTTTCAAAATGTAGAGGAAAACCCCAAACGGCTGCAGTTCTATGGCCAGCACACGCTCAGTCTGGGGACTCGTGCCCTGGTGGCAGTCGGAAGCCTGGGCCACCACTTGTCTCCACTCTGAGCATCTCCAAAACTCACACCTACTAGTGGGGACCTTCTCTACTCGGAAGTGATTCAAACACACTAATCTTCTATACTTTGTACTTTTGCTAGAATAAATTATTCCAATTTTTAAAAAATTTTAGAAAGATGTGACCACACTGACCACGTCGGGGGAAAGGAAGCTGAGCCAAATGTCAGAATGGGGTTCGTCCGCGACAGCTCTTAGTGACAACCAGGCAGCTCACCAAGCACAGCACCTCACACAAAGGGGAAGGGAGGGCAGCCGCAGAGCCAGCAGAGATGGGCCGGCCCGCACCTCCGCGCGGAGAAGCGGCACGACCCACGCGGGGCCGGTGAGTGGGCACGAGGGAGCACGCAACAGCGGAAACCACGGGCATGAGTCACATTCGAAAACGAAGCTCAGAGTGTAAATTTAAATAGCCAGATGGACAGACATTTATTATAAAAGTCAGTTTATTTTCCCTTCCTGTTTCATATTTTCCCTTTTTGTCAGTAATGAGCAATTAACTGATTGGAAATCTGCTTGATTAAATAACATTTACAGGTTCACAAACACACCACATTTCAGAGTATAAAGCAGGCGGCTAAAAATACTCCCTAACCCAATGCAAATTATGCAGTCCTCAAAATTGCACATTTCTCCCCCATTCTGCTTACGTAATTTAGAATATTTATCCAGAACGGCCTTAAAATATTGACAATTAGTATAGAGTTCACTATACTAATAGTATGCTATTGGAGACGTACACTCTACAAACTTCTAAAGAACAGATACCTAAACACTCCTCAGGCCCTCGTGGTCCATCAATGTGATTCAATGTCACACAGCTAACTCCCAGGACAGAAGGTCCTTCCTTTTTCTCTAACTTTAGTCTTCCGCTGAGGTAACTCACAGCACCTGGCTGTGACAGATCAGTCTTCTGAACACAGGGCCAAGCCGATTAGCTTCCTCGTGGATCCCAGACAGCAAACCTGGGCTTGAGTACTTCGGTTGTGGGTTTCTCATTGGAATGTTCACAACTGATCCACCTCGTGGTCCTTGAAAGGGTGACTCGACATTGCCAGGAGCCAGAGTTAGTTCTGAATGAAGATGGAGAGCAAGCTGACAACAGTTTGGAGACACTTCTGCTCCTGCAGGTAGCATGATTTTTCTCACCACAGCTAACAAAAGCATTCCTGGTCCCAGGCTGGCTGATGCTGCATCCAGCTGGAGCACTTTATCAGGATTTGATGCTGCCAAGATAAGCCACTCTGCAAACTCATTTCCAAAGCAAAATGCAACGAGCCTTTCTATTCATGGAGCCCAGCCTTGACATAAACCATGCTTGGCTCCTCGTGGTCACTCAGCTTCCCAGGCTGCAGAAGAGGGGGCCAAGTCCAATGTAGCCTTTAAGGTTAAAGGGAGAAACCTCAACAGGCCTGACAAAGACACTGGCAAATTCACAGACCATTTGTACATTCATGAAACAATAAAGTTCATCAGTGTCAGCGATAATTCCTGTAGTGTAGCAAACAGCCCGCCTTCACTGGTCAGCACCAGGTGTCTGACGCTGTTGAAAGAGGCTTGACAATCTGAGGTTATGTCGGAGCTCTTAAGACAACCCCAAAATAGGACGAATTAAAAGAAGTAACAGTCCTGATGTATCTCCTATTAATCTTGTTTTGTGGGCACCAGTCAGTCACTCAGTACTGCGCGTTTGTCGTCTTTGCATAAGAGAGCACATTTCCCTCACTATTAATGGCGAAATAAATACAATTGTACAACTTGTCTGCAAAGAGAAGGAAAGCATTAAATGTGCAGTAACAACTGAATTAACTCTGTTGGAGCATCATGTTTGGAACATAATAATGACTTTGGACAATTATGTTCATTCTGACTTCGTACAAAGGTAACTCCAATCTTCACTGAATTAGAAAATGATTTTAAAAATTAGTTAATATTACAAAATACTTAATGTGACATTACAGTCTCCAAATAAAAGAACTAAGGTAAACAAATTAAATAATTTGTGACAGGTGGAACAGAACATCGATACTGGGGCACAGATTTTAAAAAGTGTTTCTTATAACAGATCCAGTTTCTTTCTATTACAACTTCTAGTATGATTTTAACAGCAAGTTCATCAGGAGACGTTTCCCTCTGCTTAGCGTGATGTCAGCATGGATGGAGTTTCATGACCCAGCCTTTAAAAGCTAAAAGGCAGTTGGGTAGAAGAGAGCATCCTCTGTGACAGCAGATAACATACGCCTTCAGGCAGCACCAGAGGGCTCCAGGTGCTGAACTACCTGTGACTCCCTGAACAAGACTGTGGTGTCTGGACTTGGGACGACTGAGGCTGCCTCCAATTAGGATGCCCAAGATTTAGGGTCAGCAAACCGAATGCCTCCCCCCTGGTGGACGAAGCTGTCACTAGACTCTCTCAAGCAGACCTGTCTTGAGCACTGTCTCACCAATAATGGTTCAAACTGTCACATGCTTATTCAAGAGGAAGCGACATTCCAAAAGCACAGGCCCCACTGTATGGGCTACTTCTCAGAAAGTACCGAATTCCAGCCAAGAATGTCTAAGGCACACAGATATTTTCTCAAAGAGGCTCAGGTTCTTTTTAGAACCGGCACACCAGTGTTAATCATAGCAATGCTTCTTTTTTAACCCTAGGTGGCTTGGCGCACGCTGTAATTTCCCTTGGAATTCTCCAATTATGTTCAGCAGAGTACCCTGGAAGAGTACACCGACTAATGGCAGTGATACTTTAAATAAGTCGCCTGTCATGTTTTCTGGTTTTATAAATAACAATACTCATTAGACTCAGGTCAATGGAAAACTAAGGGCCCTTTCCCTCCTTGAAAAGAGAATGTCTTCTAGACTAATAAAATGTTACTTTTCACTAAAGGGTCTTTAAAAGCAATCAGCAATTTTGCTGATTTAAGAAGTGATTTAAGTAAATGTTTTGAACTAAATCAATAAGAAAACCTACTAGTTCAAAAAAAGGGGGCCACACACTTACCATGAGAATGAAAAAGTAGAAAACCCACATCCATCCGAGGTTGTCCTGGATCAAAGACACTAAATACTAAAAGGGAGAGAAAGAAATTAGAATATAATCCTTCATAAATTAATAAAATGAAGTAGCTATAAGTAATTAAAGGTGGCTCTTCTGGAAAGTAAGATGCAAGCTGGGACTTGTACACTGTGTTGCAGGTTACGAAGCTCTTTCACCCACACGCCCCCACGTGTGCTTTATTAACGGCCTTCACTTTGTAACTGGCTGAGTCCAAACACAAAAACTACATAACAGAAGACATGAGTTCGGAAGGTTTATTTCTATTCACTTTGCTATGAAGAGAGGAAGACGAACACCCTCAACTCACTTCCATTTAGTCATTCTTTCTTCCAATGAAAGGGACTGTAACTGATGCTTTCAAAAATAGTTTGTCTTTTAAGTATACCACTCATTTTATAATTATGCTGTTTACTCAGAAGATTACCGTGTGATTAACATTTTACAACATACTCTTTTACTTTACTTTTGATTAACAAAAAGGATCTGGTAACATTTAACCACTTTTTTTATTATGATAAAATATATAGCATAAAATTTGCGATTTTAAACATTTTTTAGTGTATAACTCTGTGGCATCAAATACATTCACAATGTTGTACAACCATCACCACCATCTGCTTCCAAAATTTTTCATCACCCCAAACAGAACCTCTGTACCCATTTTGCAGTAATTCCCCATTGCCCCCTTCTCCCCAGCTCCTGGTAACCTCTAATGTGCTTTCTGTCTCTGAATTTGCCTATTCTAGATATTTTAGGTTAAGTGGAATCACACAGTACTTGTCCTTTGTGTCTGGCTTATTTCATTTAGCATATTGTTTTTAAGGTTCAACCACGCTGTACTACATATCAGAGTTCCATTCCTTTTCATGGCTGAATAATATTCCACTGTATAGATATACCACATGTTGTTTATCCAGTCATCTACTGATCAATACTTGAGTTGTTTCCACCTTTTGACTATTATGAATAGTACTACAGTGAACATTGGCATAGGATATCTGAAACTCTGTTTTCAGTTCATTGGGGATACAGACCTAGGAGTGGAATTGCTGGGTCATATGGTAATTCTAATGTTTAACTTTAGGAGAACCACCACAGTGTTTTCTATAACAGCTGCACCGTTTTACACTCTAACCAGCGATGTATGAGACCTCCAATTTCTCCCTGTCCTCATCAGTAGTTGCTATTTCTGGGATTTTTAAATTATACCCATCCTAATACGTGTGAAGTGGTATCTCACTGTGACTTTTATTTGCATTTTACTCATGACTTAGAATGTTGAGAATCTTTTCATGTGCTTATCGGACATTTGTACATGTTTGTCATGACAATTTGTCTCTATGTTTTCTTCTAAAAGTTTTATAGTTTTAGCTCTTAAAGTTAGGTATTTGATCCATTTTAAGTTCATTTTTATGTACGGTAGAAAGGGTCCAAATTAATTCCTCTGCATGTGTATATCCAGTTTCCCAGCACCCTTTGGTGAAGAAACCATTCCTCTCCCATTGAATGGTCTTGGCACCCTTGTCAAAAGTCAATTGGCCACAGATGTGAGAGCTTAACTAACCCATGTTCTTTGATCACATTACTCATGAGCTTTCTAAGTGGAAGAAATTAAAGGAGAACAACTGAGTGATTTAGCCCAGATCACATCATAGGAAGCAACAAAACAGAAGTCTAGTCACCCATGAAGGAAAGTAAGGGCCATTCAAACTTTGTTATTTTATCTTTCTTTTAAATAACTTTCTTGATATATATTTTGCGTAACATAAAGTTCACCATTTAACATGTAAAATTCAATGGGTTTTAGAATATTTCGGAGTTGCACAACCCATAAAAGAAACCTTGTACCCATTAGTAGTCACTCCCCAGACCCATCCAACCCTAGGCAACCACTAACCTCTTTCCTTACAAATCTCCCTGTTCTGGATACCTCATATGAATAAAACCATAGACAATATGTGGTCTTTTGTGACTGGCTTCCTGTCACTTAGCTTATTATTTTTAGGTTCATCCATGTTGTGTCATCTATCAGTCCTTCATTTCTGTGTAATTGCCAAATAGTCCTTTATATGAATATATCACATTTATCCATTCATAAGATGGACATCTGAATTGTTTCCATTTTTTAGCTGTTATAAATAATCCAGTTATGAACATTTGTGTATAAGTGTTTATGTGAACACTTGCTCTCATTTTCCTTAGGAAGATACTACAATTTAATCTTATTGAGTCCCTGCTATTTGTCAAAAACATACTAAGTGCTGGGAACATAAAGTGAAGAAACAGAGTTCCTCTTCTCAAGAAATGCAGGGTCTGGACAGATAAATGAACAATAAATGTGGTCCATTGTGACAGGTGTTCTATGAGAGGAATGTAGCAACTGCTGTGGAAATCAGAAGGAAAAGACGATTTTTCCTGGGAAGCCAAGGAAAGGCAGGGAGAACAAAGTTACTCAAGGTGAGTTAGGAGAGTGGCTAGGGAGACAGCAGGCTGGGGGAGTTTTAATAGTAAATCAGGAAGGTTAAGGTTTCATACCAGGCAATGGGAAATCTTTCAAAAATCAACCCGGAAGAGGAATGAGTAAAGCTAACAATGACTTACTCCTGACCCTGCTGCTGAACCATGAGTTGGTCTAATGCACACCCAAGTTCACAGTTAGGAATCTGAAGGCTGGAAGGTGAGACATTCTAAATAAAAGTAAACTCCCTGCCCAGCTGGCATGGCTCAGTGGTTGAGCATTGACCTAGGATCCAGGAGATCATGGTTTGATTTCCGGTCAGGGCACATGCCCGGGTTGCGGCCTTGATCCCCAATGCGGGGCCTGCAGGGGGCAGCCGATCAATGACTCTCTCATCACTGATGTTTCTCACTCTCGCTCGCTCTCTCCCTTCCTCTCTCTGAAAACAATAAAAACATAAAATATAAATATATAAAATGAAAATTTAAATAAACTCCCTGAAATGTTCCCTGTAATCCACCCATCTGATTAATGAGGGGAACATGAGGAAGGACAACAAACTATGGCCGTTTCAGACAAGGATGCCCAGCACCGTCACCCCTTACTGCTTATATGACGGCATCTCAACCAGTGGCCAAGAGCATTTTTTGGTTCCCACTCCAGAGCATGATCAAGGAAGCAATTTCTCCTACCTCTACAAAGTTTTTTTCCCCTTTAGTCTCATAATCAAATATGCTAAGCCAACCAATCATGTCAATCACTAATTCTATAACCAACAAAATATCTGAATGTCTCCTGTGATCCAGGCATCACACTTGGTACTGGGGCTACAGGAGAACACAAAACCAAACCAAAGGCTGCCCTAGTGAAGCTTACATTGTAGTGGGAGAGACAGGCATTAACAAATAAATACATAACGCATGGCTGGACAGTGATAGGTATGGAGATGGCTTCCTTTCCTTAATACTTGACCTCTCATTAACAACTGGATGCCAGTGATCCTCACTAAGCAAACAAAACAGCAATGACCTAAATGTCCAAACTATAAACCTTCTCCCTTCCATTCTCCTCCTGCCCTCTCTACCTAACAGCCCTCAAATTCTGGTTTCCTATCTCTCTGACCTCTGGGCATCCCCTTAAGTTTTGCCTATACTCTCCTTCCCCATTTACCACCTCATCACTTCCAGTTTCAACTATTTTATCCATGCAGATGACTTTCAAATCCTTATTTCTGCAAAATTAGCGCACAATGACCTGTAGTGGTAAACCTAGGAGAGGCATGGCTCGTGACCGTTCCAGACAAGAGATACCTTTTCTAAGGTAAGGCTGCATTTAAGCAACAAGATCAATCTGAACAGTCCTAACTACCTACAGTAGGCCAATCTCAGCCTAGATCTCAAACTTTAGAGCACAAAAGAATCACCAGGAATGCTTGTTGAAATACAGATCCCAGGCTCTAACTCAGCAAGTCTCTGGTAAGCTTAGTGCTCTGTACTTTTGATGAATATGCCAGATGATTCTGATATAAGACATTTATAAACTGCCCTTTGAGACATAGTTATAGGAAGCTGAGAACACGATTCAGAGCACCTGCAGAGTCCCTGGCCACTTCTGGTGGGGTCCCATGTGATGAGCATGCGTACGTGTGTGTTTGGTAGGGTTTGCAAGGCAGGTGGTGGGGGAAAATGAGAAGCATGTGTCCTTGGAGTGCCAAGTTTAGGCACTGAAGGGCCTATCTGATGAGGTGTGAGCATATTTCCAGACAGAAAGAATCTGGAAGTAAATGTGGAAAAAGGGGCTAAAAATGTAGAGACACCTTCCATATGAGGTCACATCAGCTGGACCTGAGAGAAGACTCACCCCCCAGGCTCTCAGTACAGCTGGACCTGAGAGAGGGACTCACCCCCAGGCTCTCAGTACAGCTGGACCTCGGAGAGGACTCACCCCCAGGCTCTCAGTACAGCACACTACAGCACAAGAGTGCCACCTACTGTGGCCCAGTGGGCAGGTGTAAATTCTACTGGTTGAAGGACCACTTAACACTCAGTTTCAACCCCTCTCCTGCTCACTTACCTGGCCCACCGCAGCTCCAATGCTCCCAGTTCCATCAACAATTCCTGTGACGGTAGCCAAAGCCTCACTGCTCCCCTGGACGAGCTCTTGGCGACCCAGGTCCGCAGAAATAGCAGAGCTGATCATATTAGAAGGTCCACCAATAAAAAATCCTGAAGTCATGAACAGAAAGGTGCTTATGAAAACACCGTTCACAACCCCACTAGGAATCTAGTGAACACGGCAAACATCCCACAATTTCAATCGGTATGTTGGAGAGAAACAGAAAGAAAGGGAAAAAGAGCTAGTGAAAACGAAAACTCCCCCAGGCAGTATCATCTTCAAACGAGTTACCATCCACTTTTCTGAAATCCCTTCTTGAATTACATGACACACTAGCGCATTTTATAGAAACTAAAGATACAAAACACATAGTGCACACACAGCCTTCCCAGTCCTGTGAGGCACACTTCATCAGTAACTAATTGCACTAGCTTGTCAAGTTCTGTCCCAGCAGCTGTGCATCACAGAGCCTCTGACTACCAGATCCAACCAAACCTGATGAAAAATGAAAGATGAGAAAATGGGACTGAACAGTGCAGGGGGCCTCTCCGCGCTGCTCGCGGGAGGCTGTCCGAGGGTCACGCAGGAGCTGGCCCACATGAATCTGTATACAAGGCTGCAATCAGCTCCATAACGCTCAGGCAGCATGAGAGGCTCTCACTATCCTGAGTATGATCTAAAGTTTAAAAATGAGAAATTTTTCCATAACATGGTCCCTAGCTGCACTCAATTGTTTCATCTGGTGCTAGAGTGAAGAAATACTGAACAATTCCAACACAGGACAAAAACTAGCTGCACTGGGCTTTTTGAAAGCTGGTGAATTAGTGTCCAGTGTGGCAGCTTCCTAAGCCACTTCCAGAAGTGATGTGAGAAGCTGGAGCACGATCAGAACTGTCAGGACAGCCCGGCCGGGCGTGACTCAGCGGTCGAGCATCAACCTAGGACCCAGGAGATCATGGTTCCATTCCCGGTCAGGGCACATGCCCGGGTTGCGAGCTCGATCCCCAGTCCGGGGCGTGCAGGAGGCAGCCGATCAATGACTCTCTCATCATTGAGGTTTCTATCTCTCTCTCTCTCCCTTCCTCTCTCTGAAATCAATAAAGATATATTTTAAAAAACAAAAACTGTTAGGACACCTCTGTCCAAAGGGATCGATTCTGGAACAAAAGGATAGAGGCGGCCACATAACAGCAGAGAAACAAAATCTTTCCTTTTAACCCTCTGAATTCTCTGTAATTAAGGTTAAGTGTAACTCAAACTGAAGGAAATTGTTTCCTTTTTCCCTTTTTACTTATAGAGGAAATAGAACAGTGAAACAGAACCAGATGTCATACCTGTGACAGCCATCAGGAGCGCATTAATGGACTTATCGTTTGGAGAACCTGGGAAGAAAGACACAGAAACAGCATGCTGACTTTAAAAGCGCATCACATGTGGACTGGACGGTCCACAAAGGTCTGGGTCTCTGGGACCTCGCAGATCCCACCCAGACACAACAAAGGGATACAACTCTTTCATGGCCTCTTCCAACTTTTATTTGTAATGTCTACCTCTTGCTAGTGCTCAAGCTAATGAGACTTCTAAAAGCTACAGAAAAACCCTACTCCAATCTCAGCAGCATCTTAAGGGACATATATCAAACCCACTAATTACCATCTTTCCTCTTTTGAAACCCTTTCCGTTTTATTGTTTTATTGGCTCTAATCCTGTCATTCTGGAGCCTACCCTCAAACAAAGCATATACACTCCCAAGCAAGCTTTTAAACAAACTAACAAAGCAGAAGAGATGCCAGTTTCCTCCCCAACACAAATAAAACTATTGATGATACTTTCAACAGATATTCACAGGACAATATGGAGGTCCCATATCATGCCTTTGTAGCTGTTCTCCGGGATCTCCCCAGGGTTGGTCACTGACTCAAGGCAAATGCTTTAGTCCTAAGAGATCAGGAGAATAATTTAATTGCAAGGGAATACTCACGACTGTATCCAACCAGGGACCCGATTGCCAGAAGTAAACTCAGAGCTAAAACTGGCGCTCTCTTTTGTAACACATCAGAGATGAAGCCTTGCAGAGTTCCACCTTCAGGCACAAAGAGTGCATCACAATCAAAATCATTTATAACTTAGCCTAGTTACCTGGAACTTGCTCATCAGGTACCCTCCACCTGCCATCATGATCCTAACACTGGTGTATGCAGAAAGATGGCTGACTCTCTGGAAAGTTCCCTCCCTAATTTCCCTACAGAAGATTACCGATTAATCGTCACAATGGCAGATGGGGACAGGACACCACAAATCAGACACCAAAGTAAGAAAAAAGGGAAAATCACCAGAACCACCCACTGTCGTCTTCTCAAATCAGCTGCAAAAGCCTTTCCAGATTTTTCTGTTTAAAAAATGATTACAGCCCGGCCGGGCGTGGCTCAGCGGTTGAGCATCAACCTAAGATCCAGGCGATCAGGGTTCGATTCCTGCTCAGTGCACATGCCCGGGTTGCGGGCTCGATCAATGACTCTCTCATCATTGATGTTTCTATCTCTCTCTCTCTCTCTCCTTTCATCTCTCTGAAATCAATAAAGATATATTTAAAAAATAATAATAATAAAAAATGATTACGGACCATGCCTCATAGGCTATTAGTAGCAGCCAATAAATATTCACTAAAGTTAAATGCAGCAACTATGGCCTAATAATAACAGGTTCTGATGTTTAAAAAGCAACAGCATCACATTTAGATACGGTCCCGTGTTAAGTTCTAGGGGATAGGGGACATTTGGGACACCTTCATCAGACAGCAGGACACGGAAGTACGGTCAGGTGTAAAGGAAGCAACCTCACCTTTGGCTCTGGACCTAAGAATTAGGGCAAACAAGTTCAAATGCAATAGTAGTGTATCACCTAAGGACACACCGGTGCTTTCATGGCCCAGGGCAGTTCAGTCTTACCACAACTCTGAATGTAAACATTACAGAAAGGATATTAAGCCTTTGTCATAGCCATTTAAGTCATACCCATTAAAACGCATTCTGTGTGCCCATCTTATTTAAAAGTTTCTTACTGGTTACACTTCCAGCTGTAACAAAAAGTCGCTACTAAGATCTGCTGTGTACAAAGCAGCTACAAAATACGAAATTAATCCCTGCTACTATTCCCACCTCTGATCTGACATACACTAAGTGGATGTGTTTAGCTAAGAACTAAGATACACTGAAAGTGTACGCAAGGGTTACATTAAAAGAGGTCACAGAGAGAAACATCCCAAGACCAAAGAACAGATCCAGCCCAGCTGGCGTGGCTAAGTGGTTGAGCATCGACCTATGAACCAGGAGATTGCAGTCCAAATCCCTATCAGGGCACATGCCCAGGTTGTGGGCTCGATCCCCAGTCAGGGGCGTGCAGGAGGCAGCCGATCAATGACTCTCTCATCATTGATGTTTCTGTCTCTCTCTCCCTCTCCCTTCCTCTCTCTGAAATCAATAAAAACATATTTTTTAAAAATAAAATAAAACAAAGAAGAAGAAAAAAGAACAGATCTGTCAACAAAGGACTGAGAAGAAGAGTCCCAGAAATCAGGGCTGCTGTAGGCTGGCTCTTTTCTATGGACTTTTTTTTCCCCCGCAAAAAAGTTTGGCTGTTTACTGGTAAGACAGTTTAGGAAAACTAAAACTTTAAATGATATAAGATTTCATAACCTAGGAAAAGATTACTAGAGACTAACCACTATTGAAAAAGATGCATACGGGCATTACCTATAATTCCTCCAACATCGTACCAAATAGACAGCCGATCAGCTTCTGCCTCCTTCCACCTGAAGTTGCTGCTCAGGTAAAAGGGCAGCCAGAAGAAGAAGGAGTAGTTCACCAGCTTCAAGCAGGCATAGGCCAGCGAGTACTGTAAGGGAAGCACTCACTGTCAGTGCGGAGCAGGCAGCACGGGACCACGACTTCTAACGTAACTGAAAAGCTAAGCAAAGTAGGAGGCTGCGACCAACCACCTGACTGTGAAAGGAACCATTTCTACCAATTCCCACTGGCCTGACATGACCTAGTCTCCCCTTCTCTTTATCGCCATTAGCTCCTAGAAAGGCCTCTGGAATAGAAACACAGATGACCATCTCCTAATTCTCCCGTCTCTCCTCCTTTCAGTTCTCTGGTAGAAGCAAACCAGTGTTTTGAACCTGTAAGGCAGGGCACATACTCGTATTTCTTTATGTGGACAAACATTAAAGATACTCATGCCGCTAACTAGCACTAACCAAAAGCAAATAAATCCAGCAAGCATCACAGCTTCTACTGCAAGCAGCGAAACTATTTTGGTTCTTCTATTTCCTGCAAAGTTAGTATGATGAACGATGGAGAATTACATGCCCAAACTATAGTTTCAAGGTCTAAGAAAAGCATCAACATTACAACTACTTTCACATTATAGTTTCCAAAAGCTTGACATTCCCATGTCCAGTGGAAAAGCAAAGAGTACCTCTGGTGAGTCAAAAAGGAAAGAACATGACCTCCATGGGCCTTTGGCTCTACTTTGAGGAATAAAAGGTGCAGCTGCCTTAAGATGGCAGTGGGCTAAGGCTCCATTTTCAACATTACCAGGAAATCCTGACGTTCAGCATCAAAGGGAAGCGGGGGAGGAACGGAGAGGCTGACTTCAAAGGCTGTCTGGCTAGTATATTCCCTTCCCTGAAGCAGCCAGTTATTCCCCAGGTACTACTTGTTTTAAAACAGCTTCCCTGGCCAGGCCACAGCCACCCCCTAGAAAGCCAAGTCCTGGTCATGAGTGCATATGTCCAGACAGCACGCTACAGAAACAAAGGAATTAAGTTAACTAGATTTCCTTTACGTCCCCTCCCAAGTCAGGAACAGCTGGGGAAATACAAAGGTATAGCCAAAGAGTCCATATTTAGTCACCAAGAATTTAACTTCTCAGAAATTAATCTATTACCAGCAAAATATTTTAATAACTAGTTTAAAAATACTAATCTTCAGCATAAGAACAGGCCTAAAGGAACTTGCATTTCCCTTATATTACACACCATCTTTTAAAGAATCATAGGAACACTCACATTTGAACTCATACTTAACTATCTGTTGCAAATGTCATTTCTCTTAGCTCGGGGGCACAGGCAGAAGGGAACTGATAAGCATGACATATGACAATCTGCAAACTCAATCTAGCTCAGGGGCTACATTCAGAAAGTACCACTGAACAATTAAATAAAAGCAGGTGCGAGCCTGGCCCACATTGCTCAGCGGTTGAGCATCAACCTGTGATCTAGGAGATCACAATTTGATTCCCAGTCAGGGCACGTGCCCAGGTTGTGGGCTCGATCCCCAGCAGGGGTCATGCAGGAGGCAGAGGATCAGTGACTCATCATTGATGTTTCTCTCTCTCCCTTCCTCTCTCTGAAATCAATAAATATATATTTTAATAAAATGAAATAAAATAAAAGCAGGTGCACGTTCACAATGCAATAACCCAGTGTTCTAGACCCCAGGGGAGACTGGTGAGCTTTTTACTCCACAGGAAGGGGAACTGAGACACAAGGACGGGCTGAGTGACTTACCCCAGGCTTACAGAGAGTTAGTGGGTAAGCTGGAAACATAACCTAGGCCTCTTAACTTCCACTCCCGTGCTAGAGCGCCCGAAACATCAAGACAGAAAAACTGCAGCAGAAGGGATTTAGTTCAGACGTTAGAAAGTTCTCCTGTCAAGGTTGTGGAAACACTGGAATGCACTACCAAGAAATACTGTGGAGTACTTTGCTCTGGACCTTTTCATAAAAGGGCAAACAACTGTTTCTCCTAGAATAAGATTATTGGCAAATAGGGCAGATTTCACGGCCCATTCAAAACCCCTCCTGGCTGACATATAGTTTTATAATACTGCAACAGGCCATAAAGTATATATTTAAAAATACCACTCTGCCTTCTTACTCAGATGCTAGGTCAGGGTCAGAAAGCGAGGGCTCAGGGCCAAATCTGGGACGCCCATTCATTCCATGTGATCCATTTCTTTTGTTCTCAAGTAGTTGTGGCAGAGACTGTGTAGACACCCCCCTCCCCCCCCAAAGCTGAAAACATTTATTATCTGGCTCTTCACACAAAAGGTTTGCCAACCTCTGCATCAGGTATCTGAAAAAATTTCCAGTGGTGCCAATATAAAAATAGGCTGGGGGCACTATCCAATATTTCTCTGAACATATGTTTCCAAATTAAAGTATCTGGGAGAAGCTAAATACTTGAAGAGGCTTTGTCCCAGACAGGGTCATCTCCGGGCTCTAACATCACTGGCTGTGGTAAGGCGATCTGCACAATCCTTACCGGAATAACTCCAGGAAGGCAACAAGCCTGATAAAAGCTTATTGCCTGGACTTGGGTGACAGTGCCGCCTTCTTGGACTGGATAGTGAGGCTCGACTTCATCTTCACTTTCAGCACCATTAATTAATGGCTTGTGCGACTCTTCAAAATTTTCTTCTGCCTCAATGCCTGGGAGACCTGAAACCACAGTGACAGCATCACTTACAGAGCGCCTCCCAGGTGGCCGAGTTGTGCTGAGTGCTTTGCATGGATCATTACTTATGGGTAGACCTTAAATAACATTCAAAAGATAGAATCACATATCTATTTGCTTCTATGGTTTCGCTTGTACGAATTCTGTTTTAACCAAAGATAAGTATCACACTAAATTATTTTTATGAAGGAAAAGAAATCTGTCCCAAGAAGTGAAATAAGAAACACATCCATGCTAATTTCTAACCAGTGTCTCAATTATGAAACTCATTTGCAAATGATGAGTTTTCCCCATATCTGTAACAGGTGAGCCTCACTGCCCTCGAACACGCGCGGCTGTGCCGGGCTTAGCTGAACACAGGACACGAGAGCAATACTGCTCCTTTACCCCACTGAAAGGAGCTCCCAATTCTCCTAGGGAAAAAGAGACTGGCTTTCCTGGCCCCAGATGTCTCTTTGCCATAAGAGTAAGAAGTTGTGAACAGAAGTGACAGTTTGTCCTCACCAATTTCTTCAGGTGACACCAGGAGTCCAAAGAAGATGATGATCCCACCAGCAAACTGCACAGCCGCGGTCACCAGAAAGGCGTACTGGAGGAGAGAGGGCAGGTGCTCCTTACACATCTGCGACATTTATCAGAGGCACATGTGGAAGGTGGGGGCTGAGGGGTGAGGAGTGGGGCGAGAAGGACTGGGAGACTGGGAAGAAAATGAGTGCTGAGTGCTCAGCCTGTGCCAGGCGCTGAGCTGTGTTTTACTGGTTTTCTTTGATTTTTCCCAATGACTCTATGAGGCTCAGAGAGGGTAAACACTGAGTGGTACTGTTACGATTGTGAAATGAGGACTAGCTCCAAAAATCTCATTCTTTGCATCAGAACAGTACCTGCTGTCAAAGACATTCTATCCATTTGAGGGGATCAAACAATAAACAAAACGGTAACAGAAGGCAGCATGTAGTGAATAAATGAGGCAGCCTAGTCCTAGTAAGAAACACGTACAGGAATTTAGAAGGAAACTGCTAAAGAGGCTGAAGTAGCTACACAATGCTTTAAGGAAAAGCTAAAGATCAAAGCAACTGACCATCTTGCCAGGCGCAACAGAAGCAAAAGCACCAGGCGGGAGTGAGATGGAAAGCCATCCTCACAGTCAAGGCAGAGGGCTTCTGCTGGGACGTAACGGGATACGAAAGTGATTCAGAAAGGTGATACCAAGATTAAAGACTCTCAAAGCCAGGCTTCGTAGCTGAATTTTATTTAATAGACAATGGAGCCTCATGTGGATAGACAGCCTAAAGTTTTTAACCAGACAATGACAAAACCGGTGTTTTCAAAAGTCAAATGTAGGAGCATCCCATAGAGTGAACAGAAATTCCCATCTGAACCAATTAGTACAATCCAGGTGGGAACCTACAATCCTAGAATGAAGATGACCGTGAACATGGGAAGGACTTCCCATTGACCCTGAGTAGGCCAAATTCTTCAGACAGGTGTCTGAAACTTTATCTACTCTTTAAAAGAGCAACTTACCTACTTTTAATTATTCGGGTTTCTGAATGGGCAACACTTACATAATTCAAGCAACAAAAAATAGATGTATAGTAAAAACTCTCCCCCGCACCCCTTCTCCCACCCAATCCTCATGTAACCATTGTTGTTACTGCATTTTTTACTTTCCAGAGGTGGTTTTAGAAACACACGAGCCAGTACAAATGTGTACGCTTGCCGTCTTCCTCCATTTTACACAAACGGTGTCATTCAATACACACTGGCACCCTTGCTTGCTTGCTTTTTTCCAGAACTGTCTTTTCTCAAAACGTTGCAGATCAGTTACAGCAAACAGCACAGTGACCGTCTAGGAAAACTGTCACTCAGCAGCCACGTGGGAGCAGCTGTGCCCTTGCTTTCTTCACTGAATAGCCCACTGAGACCTTCACCTGTCGCTACAGAGAGCTCTGCAGTCCCACGCCACAGCCGCACGGCACTCCACCGAACAGGTGTGTCGCGGTTTAGCGATTCCCTTTCGGCCGACACTCGTTTTCAACGTTCTGCTGTGACAAACGCTGAAGGAAAGAGCCCTGCACATACATCATCTGTGTGCTGAGCACACCCACCTGCGGGGTTACCGGGAGGCGGGCCGCTCGGGCAGAGCAGCCGCAATGCTCACGCAACGCTGAGCCAGCGAGGGGCTGTTTCCGTGGCCGACCACAATGCCCGCTTCGTCACCCTCACAAACACAATGTACTCTCACACTCTGGGGTTTCTGCCAACCTAATGAATGTCCAGCGCAGTTTCTTGCCTTTTCACAGTGTGGCTTTCATTTGCATTTCTCCTCCGACCAGCACCCAAGTTCCAGAAGAGCAGAGCTTTGTCCCCTAAGCCACTGTCCATTCTCTACTGCCCAGAGGCACTTAGAGGAGCTCAATAAATATCAAAGGGTAAAGTCATAAGTGAAGTGGGATTTCTTTTCACATGTTCACAAGCTGCTCCTGTTCCCTTGTTATCAGCTACACATTCAAGTCCTTTCCCTTTTCTCTGTGTTGTTGCTCTTTTTCTGACCAAGTTGTGGGTGCTTTTTTATATTAAGAAGATCAGCTCTTTACCTGTAACATGAGCTGCAAATACCTTTTCCCAACTGATTATTTGTCTTTAGACTTGGGTATTCTCCAGAAATAACGCTGCTATGTGTTTCCATTTGTCAAGTTTGTTCACTTTTAACACAAGCCCTGCCCAACCCAGACACAGCTCAATATGCATTTAAACAGCCACAGTATTATTTCCTTAAACAATAAAACACAAAATACATTTATAAACTTGAAAAAAGGCTAGAAAGAAATACCTACCTCGTAACCATACTGCAGAACAGAAGAGGCCAGGCACGCTCCCAGAATGTTGCCCACCGAAGCACAGGCGCTCCAGAGGCCAAAGACAACACCTCGGCTAAAACGGAGAACAGCGGGAAACAGAACACAGCAGAGTGAGAAGGGAATCGATCCGCAGATCAAATACAGAATAGCCAAAACAATCAAGATTCACATTACAGAGAATCAACGTTCTATTTTAAGATTTTTAAGTACACCCACATGGCAAAACATCAGGTCTCTTCTAACTCTGAGACTTTATTAATACAGAAGTTTAATTTGTGGCTCACTGAAAGAAACTATTAAGAGAATTTAAAAAGACCACAGATTGGAAGAGAAAATATTGCATATCGTTCTTCTGATGAGATTTGTATCTGGAATATAAAAACTCTCAAAACTCAATAATATGAAAAGAGACAATGAATAAAATGTTAAAGAGTACGACTCTATAATCATCTCAAAATTTTAAAAAAATTGAGAAGGGGCAAAAATTTTTAATAGCTACTTCACATATAAAAATATGCAAATAAGCACATGAAAAGATGCTCAACATCATCAGACATTAGGAAAATTCAAATTAAACCCACAATGAGGTATCACTATATAGCTACAGAACAGCTAAAATAAAAAAGACTGAGCATAACAAGTGTTGGCAAAGATATACAGCAACTAGAACCCTTTACACTCTCCTGGCAAAAATGTAAAATGGTACAACCACATGGAAGAGACTGCCAATTTCATAAAAAGATATAAACATTCCTACCATATGATCTAGCCATTCTACTTCAAGGTATTTATTTATCCAAGGGAAATGAAAGCATATGTCCATACAAGGATTTGTACACAAATGTTCACAGTAGCTTTAGCTGTAATAGTTAAAAGTTGAAAACAACCCAAATGTTCTTCAACAGGTGGACAGACCACCAAACTGTGGTACAACAGATTACTATTCAGCTATGAAAAGGAATGGACTATCAATATGCAATATGAATGGATCTCTAATTATGCTGAAGGAAACAAGACAAACAAGAAAGAGTACATACTACGTGATTCCACTTATATACAATTTTAGAAAATCCTAACTAAAGTGCCAGAAAGCAGATCAGTAGTTGCCTGGAGGTGGCAGTGGGAGGGAGGGGGGTGGTACTGGGAGAGGTGGGGGAAGGAATTGCCACAGAGCCTAAGGAAACTTTTGGGGGTGATTGTCCATTATCTTAACTATGGTTTTATGGGTGTATTCTTGCCAAAACTCATCAAATAATACATTTTAAACTGTACAACTTATTGTATACCTCAATAAAGCCATTTTTTAAAAGGTGAGTGGGTAAAGGGAAATCTGGTGGAAGGGAAACTAGCTTTTACAACCGTCTTGGAGAAAAAGGATTAGCTCTGAACACAGCCAATGACCATAAGACTGGTGGAAGAAAATGGGGTTAAGAAAAGTTAATTTTTTTAAAGTTCACATTTGTATTTTATCTAGTTGATACATATTAATAACACACTGAGTTAGATTCTCTAGCTCCTTAAACATTTTTATAACCTCACTGAGACAAGAGGAGTCTTAGAAATGAACAGGGAGGCAACACTGGAAAATAAAGGCTGCTCATAAGTCGGAGGCTGCCACCTCCAACTGTTCATTTCAAGCCAGTCACAGCTGAGGCTGTGTTCTCAGGGGGAAAGCCTGGACTCCTGAGTGCAGTGATGTGCAGGAAAGGGCTCGGTGTTTTAACAAACTCTGACCCTGACAAGGGGCCTGACTCATCCAAGGTAACAGCTTTTACGGACAATATCCTCAGTAGATCACTGCATTCCTCTAAGCCCCAACTTTTTTCACCTGGAAAACAAGTGATTTGAACAAGGTAATCTCTATGTTTCCCTCTCCAATGCTAAAATGCCCAGATCCTCTAAAACCTGTAAGATCTGTCAAGAGGGTTTTGGAGGAAAGAGTTAGAAGGCCAGGCTCTGAATAACACCTGCTGGCCAAAGACATGTTTTTACAGGAAACTGGCTGAAAATAACTATGAGTTTAAGTTTTCAGTCTTATTGTGGTTAACTGTTATGTTTCACAGGAAAAGTCACCGTGTGGCAAGCAGAGCATTATTAATGTCGCTCATTAGTGTTACTTGTTTAAAAACAAATTGTCTTACTTTCAAGAAGAAATAGTACTGGCTTTCTTGAATTCTTTATTTCTTTGTAACTGATCCACAGAAATAAGGAAGTGGTCAGCCTGCCCGGTCACTGCTATCAAATACCCAATTTATAAAAACTCAGATAAAAATGATCTCAAAACGATACATGTCAAAGTAATTATCTTTGAGTGATACGATTTCAGTGGTTTTGCCTTTATTTCTCTTTGCTCATTTATATTACCTAGTTTGTCTACAATGAACAAGTAGCCTTTGAATAATTTTAAAAAATCATGAATGGGGGAAAAATTACCACCTGGCGGACATGGCTCAGCGGTTGAGCATCGACCTAGGATCCAGGAGATCACGGTTTGATTCCCAGTCAGGGCACAGGCCCGAGTTGCGGGCTCCATCCCCAGTGAGGGGTGTGTGGGAAGCAGCCCATCAATGACTCTCTCTCATCATTTACGTTTCTCTCTCTCTCTCTCCCCCCCTTTCCATTCCTCTCTCTGATATTAAGATTTTTTTTTTTTTAAATTTACCTTAAAAATCTTAAGAATAAACAGCACATGAGCAGACAGCATCACCCACTCCAAAAGAAAACCCAACTATAAGGGAACAAGAGCCTCTTAAAATCAATTGTTAGACCAGTGATGCTAGAGCTAGAATGAAATAGGAATCCCTAGCACACTGAAACATAATCAGAGCCTTCTCAGCTAAGTGGTGCTTCTTCTGACCACAGACATTTCATAGGTGAACTTTCACAAGGTTACAGATCAATAGCAAGCAAGCACCATTTCTCCCCCACTGTGAAACCGAGGAAGCTGGGAACCGAGAGGACAGGTCAGAGCATGCGCGGATCGCTGCGCTGGTGGACAGTGTCTGGGGCGTAACTGGCTCCAATGTAAAAGTGCAAACAAGCAGAAAAGATAGAGCCATCGATTAAAATAAATGTGTATCTCACACACATAACTACAAAAATGACAGGAATTCAAATTAATAATATTCCTGAAATTGGAGTAGCACAAGTAATGACATAAACAGAGCCAAGTCTCTGGGTAGCTCAACTGATTTCCATCCTGTAAATTAAGTATGGCTCTTCTTCCTGGTAGCCCAGAAGATACTTTAGCAGGTGCCTGTCCTCACACTTTGGCCCACATCACACACACAAACTCAACTACGATCTAATAATTACTTAAAGGGTTAGGGGAGAAATGCCCCAAAGATGGCATTCTGCATCTGCATCTTATTAGAGCCATTGCTATGTGACCTTAGGCAAGTCCCATGGATCGCTTTTGGCCTCAGTTTCCTTACGTTTAACGGAAGAAGGCTAAAGAAGATCACTGAGTCTCAAAAAAGGGAAAGGAAGGCAAAACCCACAGGAAGATACCCGATGGGATGGCACATGAGATATTAAAGAAAAAAATGAGACGCGCTGCCTTAGCCACACTCAGAATCTGGCTCTGGCCCGAGGGTGTTGTGGAGGTGACTGACTGGGCTAGACATCACTAAGGTCCACACCATTTCCAATACACTCTACATGAAACCTCTCTGTGAACTAGTCTAACTTTCTAAATGAAGGGAGGAAGTGGGCAGTGTTGAAAGGATCAAATCAATTGACAAATCTGAAAAATCCAACATTAAAACTACTTAGAAAATTCAAGAGGTGGCATACCCAGCTTTCCCAAACCAGTTGCCCATGACAGCAACCACACAGGGCCACCCAGTGGACTGCAGCAGGCCATTCACAATCCACAGGCAGCAGTACAGCCACTTGTTGTAGAAACGCAGCCATTCTGTGACAGTGCCAAAGACAAACACCTTAGAGAAGAAGGAAGAAAGAGGGACATGTAACATCCATATGGACACCCGGAGTGCACTCAACTGCCAAGCACACGTGTTTCTGCGGCAAGAGACTTCAGGAAGGAGTCGTTCAATGTCTAGACCTACGAGACATGTGGCTGACTTGGAATGTTCCTGCTCAAAGCAGCACTGAGTGAGGCAACCACCAAACCGCCGCCAACCAGAGCAAAGCTGTCAAACAGCATCAAACTCATTAGTGAGCATCCTCCAACTTGTGTCTTCAACGCTAAAAAGTCCTCATTGTGTGACCTCCTTTTATATCTATAGTTGACCCTTGAACAACATGGAGGCTAGAGCTGCTGACCCCAGTGGTCAGAAGTCCATGGTGAGCTTTTCAGCCCCCAGAACGGAACTTCTGACAGCCTGCTGCTGACCAGAAGCTTCACCGATAATATAAACAGTCGATTAACACATACTTTTGTGTTATATGTATTATACGCTGTATTCTTACAATAAAATAAGCTAGAGAAAATAAAATATCATTAAGAAAATCGTAAGTACATTTACACTACCTACTGAAAAAAATCCCATATAAGTGGACTTACGCAGTTCAACCCGTGTTGTTCAAGGGTCACCTGTATTTCCATTTCCTCTTCCTCAGGCCTGTGTTTGTGGAGAACTATCATGGGGACTGAGTTCATGTGGGCAGTTTAAGTCAGAACCATGGCAGGCACATGGTAGGGACTGGGAAGCACCAAGCGCCAGCTATTACTATCAGAGCCGCTAATAAGTCAATCAGAGTAACTGTGACAGGCTCAATATTTAGTAGCACTCATGTGATTGCTTTATTCCAGGCATTTTGCTCGAGTGGTCATTTTATTTCTGGTTGAAGTCTCTTTGGGGAATATCTGGCACGAGTACATGTAATACTGTATGATTCTAGTTACATGGCAATCTGAAATGAGCAAAACTGTAAGGACAGAAAAATGGTCAGCAGTGGCCAGAGACCGGAGGAGGAGGTGAGGTGGTGGTTACACAACTGCACCCAGTGGTCAAAATTCAGGACTATATACTAAAAAGAGTGAGTTTAGGCACATATTTCGATTTTTCAAAAAAAATTTAAGTATGTTTTAAAACAGGTTTTGAAATAGTATGTATATATGTGTGGGTGAGCAGCTTATGAACAAATAAAATGGTCTGATCTCTAAAATTTCAAAGAAAATAACATTTTTCTCTGTACACAAATGGTGGTCATTGAAAAACAGTAATAAAATAGAGTCTAACTAAACTCTATGCCTTCATTCAATCAACAAAAATTTCTCACCAGACCCTTGTAAGCAAATAAAGATGACTCATATGGATCTTGCCCACATATTGCGTCAGGTACTGTTGCAAGTACTATACAACCCGCAACTCGTCTAACCCTCACTACAGTCCTAGGCGAGGGGTTCAAATGAGGAAGCTGAAGTGTAGAGAAATCACAGCTAGGAAATTGCAGAGGAGGGACTGAAACAGGCAGTGCCGTCTCAGGAAGTCTGTGATCTTAACCACTGTGCTCCAGCCTCCAGGGAAAGCAAGACTGATGCAGACATAAGTAGGCTAAGCAATAGACAATATTTGTGCCTCCAATGAAAATGCAGGCACGGGAGCTCAGAAGAGGGAATGCTGACTTCTAGGAGGGTTGTCAGTAACATAAGGCATTATGAAGAAAATGTCACTTAGCCAGTGACATGAAGGAGACGCTGAGTGAGACTGGATAGCTGAGAAAAGGGCCATCCATGCGAGGCAGGAACAGCAGGAACAACGGTAGTGAGGCAGAAAGAAGCTGGATATGGGAGGGCCACAGAAAGTCATGTGACCAAGCAGAGCAGTGAAGCACAGTGACAGATGCAACTGGAAAGGCAGCTGGGACTAGGTTCTGGAGAGCAATGAACAGCATGCTATTTATGCACTGACTTCGTTGGTGACTGGGAGTCAAGGAAGGGGCATGATCTGAATCACACTTTTAAACAACTCCCCTAACTGAAAAGGCTGGCAAGGGACTCAGAAACTGAAGGTTAACTTTACTATTCTCTCCTACATACAGAAGTAGGGGGACTGCTTGGATTCTAAAATATCTGACGATAATCATAATCATTATCATCATAATTTTTTTAAACTTTCAAACTTACCACTAATGCAGAAGAGCACATGCCAAAAGATAGAACACATCGTAAATTAAGCCGGTCCCCAACAACACCGCTGATGAAAAGGCCCTAAAAACAAAGCATTTTATTTTACAGCCGTGAATTACAACACAGTCTGAAAAAAAGAGGCACTGCAAAGCAAATGAGGCAGGCAATACGCTGAGATTACTTAAAATTAAATCGCATTCTCATGCCCAGACGAGCTGTCTGTATCAGTTTCCCAAATGTTTCATAAAATGGCACTGGGCTTTTCTGCACACTTCATGCACAAAGACCTCCCTCGTAATTCAGTGCAAACCTATGTTCTACTTGGTCCCCTCAATGCCTAAGAGGAGACTGAAAAAAAACACACAAGAATTATTCCAATAAAACAAGCACACAACTCCATTTCATTTTCCAGAATAGATTAACTCCTGGCGATCAGCTATCTGCTTCCCCAAAGGCATTCCTCTCAGCTATTTGCATTTGGAATAAAGATGTTAGAGCACGTCTTGCAGGACAGAAGCTTCTGGGGCACAGGTGCTGCCTGTTTAATCTGACCCTTGGGTTTCATGTCACCACAGGCAAGGAACGCAGGGAGGCAGAGGCAATAATTAGTTGAACATAGGTACAAATGTTCTGCCTTCTGCTCTCCTCCCACAAAGCGGCAGCAATTAAAATGCTCAGATCATAGTGCAAGCCGACTAAAGAGCTAAGGGCAACACACTGTAGGTTTCTTCCATAAATATGAAAAATGACTAAAAGTCCTTAATAAAAACCTAAATTCTGATACAAGTGTTTCTAATAAATTGACTCTCTGTATCAGAGAAAATTTAAATGATAAATTTTGTAATAAATGTTTCTCCCTCATTACTGACAAGTTCTCTGTACCTCAAGAAGACTCTATGTTCTACAGCTGCCACTCACATGGTCTTATGCAGAGTAAAGGGGGTGAAGAGAATTTCTCAATTATGCTTCAGATTAGGTAATCAACTTATTCCCTGCTGCTCCAACCTGCCTGCACAATACCTGGAAGTTACAGAAGAAAATGCAGCTCAATAGACCCACAATCACTGATTTTTCATGGCACTTACCTTTTACCTCCTAAATCTATTTAACCCTTCAGACAGGTACTATCCCAATGCTATAGATGGGAAATTAAATAGCAAAAAAGGTTAGCCCTGGCTGGGTGGCTCAGGTGGTTGGGGCGTCATCCCGTACACTGGAAGATTCCGGGTTCAATTCCTGATCAGGGCACATACCTAGGTTGTAGGTTCAAACCCCAGTAGGGGTACGTACAGGCAGCAACTGATGGATATTTCTCTCTCTCTAAAATCAATAAAAAAAAACAAAAAACACATGTCCTCAGATGAGGATTTTTTTTAAAAAGTTAAATGCCAGTGGGAAGCTAAATTTAACACAGCTAGTTGACGGTGGTAGAACTGGTTTTTCTACTAGACTCCACTGCTTCTTAAAATACTTTATAGAAGTCTCTGGCCAGTGTGGCCCAGTTGGTCGGGCACATGCTGCCCCCAGGAGGGGGGGTGATCCTGGATGGGGCCGTGCAGGAGGCAAGTCGATGCTTCTCTCACACACTGATGTTTCTTTCTCTCCCTCTCCCTTCCTCTCTCTCTAAAAATCAATCAAAAATCTTTAAAAAAGGAATACTTCATAAAAGGCTCAAAGAGAAGCCTCATGCAGAATAATGATAAGTTAGGATTTTGTACGGAAAATGGCCAGGGTAAGGAGAAAGGCTACAGATCTAAGATCCGTTCCAATTTTGTAACTTTCCTCTTAGAAGAAAAGATATTCTAATAATCACCCAAATAAACATTTAGAGATTACTTTGGGACTTTTACCCAGTATTTTTCACATCACCTGGACATTCAATCTTAAAAGGCTTTTGTTATCACTGGGCACATTTTCAAGACAGGAAAAAAGATGCTGGAGAGAAAAAGTTCCAGCTGTGGCCACCATCAGCCCCACAGATCTAACTCGGCAGCCACCACAGATGTTCCCTACAACCAGACACTCTGGCTGCCCAATCCAGGGATGACCTCAAATAGAGTCAGCCCCTGCCACCTGATATGGCTCCCAGGACTCCACCTGCTCATGGTGTCCCTGCTCCCCACTGCTCTGGCTCAGCCTCCCTAACCATTCCTCAGCCTCCCTTCCTCTAATGCTGGGAAGCCCACAACTCAGTCTTCACACCTCTTCTCCATCCTCACCAACTCTCTGGATAATTTTAAACATCAGGTATAGCCCTGGCCAGTTTGGCTCAGTAGTTAGTGTGTTGGCCCGCAGACTGAAGGGTGCGGGTTCGATTCCAGCCAAGGGCATGTACCTCAGTTGCAGGCTCGATCCCCAGCTCCAGCTGGGACGCACGCGGAGGGCAACCAATTGATGTGTCTCTCTCACATTGATGGTTGTTTCTCTCTCTCTCTCACTCCTTTCCACTCTCTCTGAAAAGGAATGGAAAAAAATATCCTCGGGTGAGGATGTTAAAAAAAGAGAAATCATGTACATGCAAAGGACTCTGATGTTTGTACCTCCAGCCTGAATGTCTAGACACACTGACCTCACTTACCCACCTCAGGTCTTTGTTCAAAGAGCCCCTTCTTTGCAAGGTTCTCCCAAGCCACCCTACTTAAATTACACCCCCCACCCTGAGCTATCTATTCCCCTCTCCCTGCTTTTTCTCCACAGCACTTACCACCTTTAAACATACTTTATAATTAACTTATTTATAGCATTTTGTTACTGTTTGTCTCTCTTAGCTCCCACTCCAAGAATAGCAGCTTCATAAAGGTAGGGATTTTCCTGCGTTGTCCACTGATGAATTCTCAATGACTGGAAAAGTACCTGGCACATGCTAGGTGCTCAGCAAGTATTTGTCAAATGAATGGATGCACAAGGACACAAAATATAAACTTCAGCCAATCCTGAACCTCCTCAGTCAGCAAATTTAAAATCTCTTATGAACTTCATAAACTTTGGACTCATTTCTTTTCACATCTTTCAAAACCCTGGAATTCTAGCCCTAGACTGTCTGTGTCAGCGGCTAGAGCATCGGGCTGAGACTGATTCCGGCCAAGGGCACGTACCTCGGTTGCAGGCTCAATCCCTGGCCGTCAGTGCACGTGCAGGAGGCAACCAATCGATGTGTCTCTCTCACACTGATGCTTCCCAACACCCCCTCACTCTCTCTGAAAAGCAATGGAAAAAATATCCTCAGGTGAAGGTTAAATATAAATAAACCAGCCTTGGAATTCTAAAACTTACCACAGCATAGGAGAAGAGGAAAATAGTATCCAGTGTCCCAAGGAAAAGCGTGGCCTCCTCTGCACTGGGGAACAAATGGTTGCTGCTCCAGACCTATAGGACACAAGAGCATGTCAGTCCCGGCTGGCATCTGCTCGCGCTTCGCATCCCTCAAAGCCCCTTCGCATGCCCTCCACCCACTCTCACGGAGACCTGGCAACGCTGAAAAGAGCAAAGTGGTACTTTATACAGGAAACACACACACAGTCAAAACTATCTGAATAATACTGGGGCCGCCCTTATCCAAGGTTTGCTTTCCCCAGTTTCAGTTACCTGAAATCAACAGAGGTCCAAAATATTACAGTATGTGCCAGGGGGAGGAGGGAGGGAGTACACATGTGAGCATGGGAGGGTGGGAGGAAGGGAGGGAAAGAGAGAGACCACAGTCACATAACTTTTATTATAGTATATTGTTACAGTTGTTCTATTTTATAATTAGTTATTGTTGTTAACCTGTTACTGTGCCAAATTTATAGATTCGTCTTTATCAGAGGTATGTACGTATAGGAAAAAGGGTAGACTATATAGGGTGTGGTACCATGCACAGGTTCTGGCATCCACTGGGGTCCTGGACTGTATCCCCTGTGGACAAAGGGAGACTATGATACTAAAAAGTTCTCTTCTTTTTCCCTTTAACTTTTCCTTTGATGGTGCAAAAGCTGTGGTGGGTGAAAATGCTGCACCTTGGCAGAAACGAGCAGTTACACAAAACGGTGCCGTGTTAATCAGTCTTCTTTATTGCCACACTTCAGTACCAAAAAAAAGGTCACTTTCACTTAAGAATGTTCTTGATGAAGCAGTAAAAATTAGTAATTGTATTAAATCTGGCCCCAAGTACACTTAATTTTACCAGTCTGTGTGATGAGGGGGGAAATACACAAACAGTGCATACCAGAGTTAGGTGGCTGTCCTGGGGGAAGCACTTTGCTTGCAACTGTGTGAGCTGTGAGCTGGGATGTCATTTTTACTCGAAAGAATGACTGACAGACACAGTGCCCAGTTTTGAGTATTTGGCAGATTTGAGTATCTGGCAGATATTTCCTCAAAAAAGTGAAGCAAGCCTGTCACTTCAAGATTCATTCAAAGTACAAGACAGACAAATGGATGTTAATGTAAGGTTATACAAAGTTAATGAATACGGTTTCAGATTCCACACTGCAACTACCCTTTAAGAAATTGCCACTTGTCAAATTCTGGTGTAATATCAAAGACAAATACCCACAATTAACTGAAAGGCTGTTAAAATACTTCCTCCCTCTCCACCACGTATCTGCGGGAGACAAACTCTTCAGAGACTTGAAAGGATCACATTGCAGGAGACTGAATTCAGAGCCGACAAAAAAACCCATTGTCTTCTACTCAGCCAGACAGGAAGAGAGTTGCAAAAATCTGTCAGTCAATGCCACACTCCTAAGTGGGGGTTTTTTGCCTTGAAAAAGTCATTTTTCATAAAATGTCATTCATTCATGTTAACATGTTGTGGGTTAATTTATTTGAAAATAACTTAAAAACTAACATATTCTTCAATTTCTCAGTTTTAATTTCTAAAACAGTCAACACCTAGAAATATAAACCCATATAACCAAAAAGTTCAAGAACTACTGGACTAAATGATTTGTGAGATGGCTTGTTAAGAAGGGAATGTTTTTGAATCCTCACCCAAGGATATGTTTACTGATTTGAGAGAGAAAGAAACGGAAACATCCATCAGCTGCCTCTAGTACTCACCCTGACCAGGAATCAAACCTACAATCTTTTGGTGTACGGGGGATGCTCCAACCCACTGAGCCAGGACAAGAAGGGAAATTTTGACTTAAGAATAGTTAAAAGAAAAATCACAATAAGCAATTTAAAAATATATATCTTCAAGAGAAAGTAAAGTCCCAAATTATGAGAATATATAAAGTGTGATTCTAAAGTATTGGGACTCATTTCTGGGTAGCTTATGTCTTTTACTTTAAGAACACTTCACGTACTGCTTTCATGATAAGAAAGCAGCTCACACAGCTAGATCGATCAGTATTTCAACGTGCCAATTGAAACCTTAAATATCTCCAGTTAGTTATTTTGCCACATTTTTCACTCTAACCACAACACAATCTTTGATCCCTGATGCTGTCTGGGCTCAATAGGACCCAGGATTAAAAACCCTGTTGGGCACACACCCGTGTGACCTAGAAACCCAGGGCCTGACGTAGCTGCCGCAAGTTTCAGGGCTTTCTTTACTTTTTCGAAAAGCGACCAAAACTCCCACAGGTGTGGTTTTCCCAAGAACTGACAGACGTAAACAGCTTTTTTCTGCTTCACTGCCAGAATAAGCAGAAACACACTTCTGCCTGCCTACTTTACAAGTGCGAACAAAATAGAACCAAAAACTAAGCAAAGTAGAACTAGCAAAAAGACTCAGAAAATAGGTTAACAGAAAAAGCCTAATAAAGGAAGTTTATGTTCATAACACAGCTTCGATCAAGATGACTATACCAGTAGGTGAGAAATGGTCCAAGTGCACATGGTGACTCATTCAGCGTTTAATGAAAGCCATGGACAAAATGACTTCAAATGCTCCAGTGATTCCAGCTGGCCTGTATGTACAATTACCATGTGACTGTATCAGCCTGTAAGTGTGCAGGCTTTTTTTGTGTTGTGGGGGCAGGAGCTGTACTAAGCCACTGCAATTGCTACATGTTGGGACACTTCCTGGAGGCATGAAATTGTGGGCACATTTAAAAGGTCATGGTGAGAATGTCACAGAGTAAGGAGAGCTGTGCATGGAGGTAGGGGAACTGCTCAGACGAAAGAGCTTCCTGGTGCACAGAAGGTGAGCTCAAAGGACCTGAGTTCAGGGTTTGCTCTCCATCTAAGGCAAGAATCTGAGGGAGAGGAGCTGCGGATGAGAGTGAGATGGATGCTGAGGACACCCTGAACCTGGTATCCCTCTCCTAAAGAGAACTCTACACTCTCTTATGCTATCCTCATGGAAGGACTGTACTGTCTAGAGCTAAAGTAAGACTTTATTTTAATAGAACTAATTTTTATTGACAATTTCAGTTGAGTTGTCCTCAAATATTAGATTTAACCATTAGCTGTTTATTATCTATAAGCACGCATGTTATGCTAATTTCACTTAATATTTCCAGTGTCAGTGGAATCCATTATAAATTCTCAAGGTATAGGGACTGTGTCTGCTTAATTTTCTGTAAAGCACCTAAGATAGCTCTGCATAAAAACAAAAGCTATAATAAGTACTTTTTGAAAATGCTATTTAGGGCATTTAAGGAATGTTTAACATATACAAACAAAATATATTTTAGAGTTCAGACTCATTTTACATATACTTCTGGCACTAAGTACCTTTCCACCTTGGACAAGAAAGTGTCTCAAGGGGAAGCTAGAGAGAAAGCATTACAGACCCAAAGTACAGGAGGAGTGAAGGGTACACGCCAGCCCAGCCTCTGCACTCCCAGCAGCAGGCTTCAGGGAAACAAGCCCTGGACTGGAAAATCAAAAGAAAGAACGGAGTCAGGCAGGCATGGCTCAGTGGTTGAGCGTCGACCCACAAACCAGGAGGTCATGGTTCAATTCCCTGTCAGGTCACATGCCAGGGTTGCAGGCCGATCCCCAGTAGGGGGCGTGCAGGAGGCAGCCGATCAATGACTCTCTCATCACTGATGCCTTATCTCTCCTTTCCTCTCTCTGAAATCAAAACAAACATTTAAAAAAAAAAAAGAATGGAAAGTCAGCACTGCTCCCCATGAGGGCAGGTCCACACAAACATAGCTCTCCTGGCTTAGTAGCACTTGACTTCTATCTGCATAACCAATCCACCCAATCTACTTAATCCATGCTTCTGAAACACCAGCATGATGAACCTATTTCAGCAGGAGTAAGTATCTAAGCAGAAAAGTTAATGCCAGTTCAAAACAAGCTAACAATGTAATATGGTTCCTGGCAGGAAAGAGTTAACACAGCAGACCTGACATGACTCACCTTAAAAAGACCCACCTGCAAGGCTGGCCCTGGCCCAGCATCTAGAAACCTGGATCCAGGAGGGTTCCCATGATTCCCTGCTGAGACTGCCTTGCTGTGCTAAACTGTTCAAACAATGTGGTTTATGCTTAGCACCTGCTTTCCTTCTGAGAGTGTGGGATTTTTGCATGGGCCAGGTAGAGAGCGCCTACGTGACCAGCTCCAATAAAATCCTAGGCACCAAGTCACCAACGGGCTTCCCTGGTAGACACTTCTCACCTGTGTGGTCACAACTTGTGTGGGAGATTACACATACCGTGTGTGACTACTGGAGAAGGCCTCTCAGAGGCCAGTGCTGGTTTCCTCCAGGCTTCACCCTACATACTTTTCCCTTTGCTGCCTTTGTTCTGTATCCCTCATTGCAATAAACCACAGCTTCAAGTACAACTATGTGCTGGTCCTGTCAATCCTCCTAGTGAATCATCAAACCTGGGGGTGGTCTTGGGGACCCTGAGCCCAGTTACCTGAAACACAAAGGCAGCCTTAGGCAGTACACCCAGAAATTCAGTGACTAAACTAAACCTCATGTTCTGTATGCTGGCCAGGCTGTCCCTGAAACATCGTACTGCGTGCTCAGCTGCAGGAGCCAGGAATGTTTCACCTAAACAAGAAAATGTAGGAAGACAGGCTTTCTTCATACTCAACAGGCCACTGTGCAGTGGGAACAGCCTAGTGTGCATGGCTCAAAACCAAACAGCAGAACACTTTCACCTCAACAGAAGAAAGACCTTCCTAATGACGAGAGTTGAAGATCAATGTAGCTGTCCACCTCAGAAACAGAGCTTCTTCTCCCTCAATGTTAAAGCAGAAGCTGGGCAGTCACCTTTCAATAACCACAGGAAAGACTCCATACTGGCTGGGAGTTGGGGCACATGACCTCTCTAAGGCCAGTCCATCTTGAAGGTCTGTGAAGAGTCAGCTAATAATCATGCAGAGGTGCTCACTGTGAACACAGCACCAGTCAAGTATCAGCTAGAAGTCTAGCCCTCTACTCTTACCACCTTTCCTGTTAGAAGTTCCTAAGGCCCGGCCGGGCATGGCTCAGCCACTGAGCATCCACCTGTGATCCAGGCGATTGCAGTTTGATTCCCGGTCAGGGCACTTGCCCAGGTTGTGGGCACGATCCCCAGTCGGGGCGTGCAGGAGGCAGCCGATCAATGACGACTCAAGATCTTAACATTAATGTTTCTCTCTTTCTCCCTTCCTCTCTCTGAAATCAATAGAGATATACTTAAAAAAAAAGGTTCCTGAGACGTTCAATTCATGAAAAGCTGTTCAGGAGCCTCCCCACTAGAATGCCAGCTCCAAGGGCCCCAGCTTTTTGTTTTTACCCTCAGTGCCTGGAGCAGGGATCTGTGAGACAGACCTACAATAAGCACGGGTTGAATACTTATTTACATTTGGGGAGACAGTCATATAACCTTCAAATCTCCGTCAACTTTAAATTGGTCCAAATCAGGGAAATAATTTTTAAGAAAGAAAACAAGCCAAGAATATTAATAAATAGCTACAATTTCACATAAGCAGAACTCAAACCATGTGGTCAGGACTGAGTGAAGTGGATCTGCGTACTGAGATAGGGTACTGTAAAGAAGAGCACCTCTGTCCCAGCCATCAAAGAGCTTTCTCCGCCCATGCGAATACAAGGAACTGGGATACATACACTCTGAACTTAAGCAAGATACAAATGAATAAATGAATCAATCAGAGAGCATGAAAATACTGAGATAGTAAACTATGCAATACAGTGTGCACACTTCAGGAAAAAACAGAACAGTGGAATCAAGAGAAAAACTTCATTTTAAAAAGGTGACATTTTATCTTGACATAGAGAAAAGCACAATTTTGATAGGTGGAAAGAAGGTAAAAGAGCCTACAAAAGAACATGGGCGTGGGGAGAGTAACCAAAGAACTTATATGCATATAATGCACAACCCAAGGACACAGACAATGGTGGGGAAAGGGACTGGGGAGGGGGATGGGACGGGGTGGAATGGGTCATTGGGGAGAAAAAGGGACATCTGTAATATTTTAAACAAAAATAAAATTTAAAAAAAAAAAAGAAGAAGAAAATGGGCAAAATCACAAAGGTAGAGAGCAGAGTACTTGTGAAACTCAATGAAAAAATAGCCTAGGCAGAACTGTGTGATTTCAAAACGGTGAGAAATAAGCTGGCTGGAATGGTACTGAATCAGGGTAAGCTAAGAAATGAGGCAGGAGAGTTCAGATCTTAGGCCACAGGAAACAGTAAGCCATTTCAGAGTCTAAGCAAATGAATGGAACAAAACAGAAGACATCAGGAAGAATTCAGAGGTGGGCACGGGTCCCTTCTTAAATCCATGCCAGCACTCCATACCACTCACCTCTACAGGCTCGATCGACCTGTTAAAAGCACTTGGGGTCCACTGCTTAGAGATGCTGACTTTGACATTGCTGAATGTTTTCCTTGATGCATGGAGCAACGAGTAACTACAAAAGAGAAGAAATACAGCTGAATGAACAGCAAGGAAAACGGCCTTCAGTAAAAATCAGAGATACAGTCCTCTTTGTTCTTTCAATTCTGGAATTCTCTTTAAAAAAAAGAGGAGTACTGCTTTATAAGGACTAGCAACTGAAACAGCCTCTTCCAAGAAAAGAAATCATTAACGAACCTTGTTCGCTCTTATCCCTGGACCTAGGAGACGGAGATGTGACTGACCTCAGCCCACTTTAAGCTCTGGCTGCAGCTCTGTAAAAGGGTTTAAGTCTTTAGCAAACACTGGCTGCTCACTGTACGAGCCGATCAGTAGCTTTTTCTTTGGGTCCTGGCTTTTCCTCGTACTGCTGCTTCCTCCCACCCCTCACAAATGAACATACCTAAACCAAGCATCCAACTACCTATCAACTCTTACGTAATTAGAGAACTATTCTCCTAGTTTATAACTTAAAACAAAAATCCATCATCCTCATTTGTGGTTGGTACCTTCAATAAAGAAGAAAATCTATTCAGAAGAAATAATCAGAATAGTTGAATCACAGGGTTATGAGTAACATGCTGCTAATGCCAAAAGGGCCTGGTATGTGCCATCAACACACCACTGAGGGCCACAGACTCACAAACACTGGGAATTCTGACTCACCAGGGATCTTCACACCAGTTACCAGAGTTCCTCATGACTGTCTCATACCATTTTTAATGCTCAAGGGGGCACAGGGCGGTCCCTGAATATGCATGCCCTTTGTTCTCAAGCTACTGGGGTTTTTTTGTTTGTTTGTTTTTTATTGATTTTTATGAAGAGGAAGGGAGAGAAGGGGGAAGAGAAAGATCGATGTGAGAGAGAAACATCCATCGGTTGCCTTCCATATGCACCCCAACCGGGATCGAACCCACAATCTAGGTAGGTATGTGCCCTGACTGGGAATGGAACCTGCCACCTTTTGGTGCGCAGGACGACGCTCCAACCAACTCAGTCACACCAGCCAGGGCTCAAGCTCCTGGTTTTTAACAAATAAAGGACTTTATATCAGATCAGGGTTTCTCAACCACGGGACCACTGACATTTTGGGCCCCCAAAATTCTCTATTGTGGAGGGGGGTTGTCTCATGCATTGTAGGATGTTTAACAGCATTCCTGGTCTCTGCCCACTAGAAGCAAATAGCATGATGTCAAAAAATGTCTCCAGACATTGCCAAATATGGGCCAAAGAGCGCCCTAGAGCTATTCTATTAGAGCTATCAAGAAGTACAAGAGGCCCTAGCCAGTTTGGCTCAGTGGTTAGAGCATCAGTCCCCGGAGTGAAGGGTCTGGGGTTCGATTCTGGTCAAGGGCACGTACCTCGGTTGTAGGCTCCAACCCCAGCTCCAGTTGGGGCGAGCGTGGGAGGCAACCAATCAATGTGTCTCTCTCACATCGATGTCTCCCCCCCACTCTCTCTCTCTGAAAAGCCATGGAAAAAATATCCTCCAGTGAGGATTTAAAAACAAAAGTACGAGAGGAGTAACTTAGTCTACTTCATGCTAAGTCCACACCAACCCCTGCATGAAGCACCTGCCATGCAGTAAGTGTCTCCCTCCAAAGGAACAAACATGAGCACAGCTGCAGCAACCCACTCACCTGAAGAAGGTGAGCAGGAACACGACCACATGATGGTGGCTAAACCGGGACAGCAGGGCGCCTCTCTGAAAAACATCTGGCCAGGCCATGTCTTCCTGACCTCCCTTCTGGCCTGTGACCTTAAAGTTTGGAGAGTGAATGATTTACACCATTTCTTCTTTCTGGGAAGGCAAAACATATTATTAACATTACCCAATTTATCCAAGGCCTGAATTAGACTTATAACCAGTTGGCACATAATCAGGCTGTGAAAGAAAAAGCATGTGGGCTAGCTGACACCAGAAAACCAGATGGATAATTACATTTTATAGCAGTAAGCTAGTCCTTTAAGAAAAAAAAGAAATCCTTGATCAAAGATTACACCCTAATAGAAAGAATTCTCATGCAAACTGAAGAGAAAATCACTAATTTTAACAGGAAACAATGAGCAAAGGAAACGAATAGACAACTCAGAAGAAATGAAATGGCTATTACTTATCAAATGAAAGTTCCAATCTCACTAGGAATGTGAGAAATGCTAATAAAGGCAAGAAAATGTTCGCACAGTTAAAACAGACTGTGGCCCATGCAGCTCAAGGTCCAATGATTTCTGAACTCTCATACAATGGTGATGGAAGTGAAAATTAGCCCAGTATTACAGGAGCCACGTTCATCAAGAGCCTCTGACACAAAAACGTAACTCCCAGGGATCTATTCCTAAGGAAATACAAGATATGTTCAGGTCTAATAAACAAAGTTAGCTTTTACATAGTGTTAAAGGAGCTTTTATATATATACACACACACCACACAAACACACACACACACATATATACACATATATATATTAAAGTTTTAATCCTCACCCAAGGATATGTTTTATTCATTTTTTAGAGAGAAAACAGGGTGGAGAAACATCAACGTGAGAGAGAAACATTGATCAGTTGCCTTGTGTACATGCCTGGATCAGGGACTGAACCGGAAACCCAGGTATGTATCCTGAGCAGGAATTGAACCCACAACCCCTTGCTATAAGGGACAACGCTCCAACCAACAGAGCCACCAGGCTCAGGTCAAAAGGCCATTCTTTTTTTTTTTTTTAATATATCTTTATTTCAGAGAGAGGGAGAGAGAGAGATAGAAACATCAATGATGAGAGAGTCATTGATCGGCTACAGCCCGCAACCTGGGAACATGCCCTGACCAGGAATCGAACCCCGATCACCTGGATCCTAGGTCGACGCTCAACCGCTGAGCCACATCCGGCTGGGCCTAAAGGCCATTCTTGATAAACATTATATCTGTTTCATTTACTGGCTGTGAGCCCTGGGACAAGTCCATCTCTATGAATCATTGTTCGTCTTCTATAAAATGGCCTACCTCTTCTAATAGTCATGAAACTAAAATAAACAACATATGCAAAGAATTAAGATAACTCTCTTAGCCACTGATCTGCCCAGGATTAATCCCAAGTCAGCAGAATGTAGCTAACTTCACTTAATCATTCTCCCTGAAAAATGTTAACAAAAGTATGAGCTAAGACTGTAAAATTCCATTTACAAAATGTAACAAATAAATTTCTGTCTGTAATTCCAGGAAGCTACAAAACCAAGAGCTATTAGTGTTACTGCTAAATTTATCTCCATCCTCAAAATTAAACATGCAACCCAAGTGGAACAACTGGAAGCTTGAACCACTTTATAAAGCATAGCTCTTCTAACACATTCACACCTCAAAACACTGCACTGAGCATTTCAGGAAAGGCTATGGGTTATGAAATGCAATAATTTATCAGGGAAAATAATTCCAAAAATGTCCACTCCAACAGGTTAGGATTACACCACTTCGGCAATAATGGTTGTGTATTTTAGGGCTGTGCAGTTACATTAATAGCTTTAATGACTAGTAAGCTGTTTGAGACCATCTGGATTTACTTTCTAAATAAACTGCCTTTTCCTTGGCTATAGTGACGGGGGAGAAAAGGCTTAATAATATTAAGTACATTGGGAAAATGGTTTTGAACACTCACCTGCTACTGGCAGAATGACTTTTAAAATGAACACTATTACAACATCGGGTCCTATGTAATTATAATAACTAATAACACCTTGCACTTCTCTACCCTCCATCACAGAAGTGAGTTCTAATCATCCATGAGCTCTGGGGCTCTGGGGAAGCACACAGAGTTTTTGCGAAGTCTGAATCCAACCAGCACATCCTGCCCAGCCAGGCGTGGCTCTGGCTCAGCAGTTGAGCGTCAACCTAGGATTCAGGCAATAGGGGTTCGATTATCAGTCAGGGCACATGCCAGGGTTGTGGGCTCGATCCCCAGTCTGGGGTGGACTTGAGGCAGCAATCAATGACTCATCACTGATGTTTCTCTCTCTCTCCCTCTCCTTTCCTCTCTCTGAAATCAATAAAGATATACTTAAAAAAAAAAACAGCACACCCTGAAGATCATTTTCTTTCCTGCTCTAAATATAAACAAATGTCTAAATTTTTCAAGTGTATGCAAATGCCATTATAATGAGTAATATCAAATTTCATTTCAGTGTTTCTGAATTCAAAGTAGGTTGTCATTTAGTATTTTCTCAATCAATGGGTACTGAATACACATAAAACTATCATGTGAGAACAAGAATTATCTTTAACAACAACAAAAAACACCTTATAAAAATAAGATCCTTGCAATCATAAAGGACTCAGAACCATTAAACCATGTTTTACTTTTCAAAGCAGGTTCATAATCACTAACTCATCTGATTTGTAATGACACTTGTTTTGAGTTCTGGAAGATCACCCATACAGGGTATTTTCCAGAATGGAACCTACTGTGTAACTGATACCGAATTAAGAGACAGCTTTGCACGTAACATATCCAGATAGAAGGCAATCTCTCCCTTATAAACACTGTCTTAGAATATAAAACATTCTAAAATTTCCACTTTCTATAGATGTTGAGTCCATTCCAATTCAAATAGTAAAATTTAAAGTTGTCTTGTATTAATAAGACTATGTGACTACAGAGTAGAAAGGGGCAAGGCTATAGAAAGGGAGGTAACATATCTGAAGCATCTAGCATACATTGCATCTGGCTCAGTCTTCACCCCACCCTAACCTGTTACCAGGCTCTGGAAATCTAGATCTGTGGTTAATAAACTTTGTTATAAAACAGCAAATTCCTGCCTGCCCCCCAGATAACCCCGCTTCCTCCAACGCCTCTCAAGGAGATGCAATCTTTCTTCCCACACCCACTTTTCCTCCTTGTAAAACCCCAGCTTCTTGGAAACTAACGCTCCGGGCTTTACTGCCCGCTGCGCTGGCAGCTGTCATGGTCTGATCTCCCACCACCGCCGTCACTGCAAACAGCTCCTGTCTTGCTCTTCGTCCCCACCACCGCCTGTGTCTCATTTCAACATCCAGGTAGTCAACTGCATCCGTCCCCTTCACCACCAATCTCTTCATCCATCCCACAATAAAAACCCACTCCATGGCCACAACCTAGTCCCTGTCATGACCAGTAACTGCATCACCTCCCCAAACTGGGTTGCAAACATCCTCTCCCAGAAAACTGCTTAGTTTCATACTGCCCACCCTAACAGTCAATTTACACCAGCAAGATTCCCAATTCGGACACCTCACCGTTTTCTCCACTGTCGTTACCCTCCTCTTGCCCTCATTCCCTCCTTTACCAACTCAGAATCTGAACTGTCTCCCTTACGGGACTTTCTTTTCCTTGCTGGCCTCTGTCCTTCCCTGCACCCCAGCAGCTGAGCTTTGTCAGAGGAAAAAAAAAAAATCACACATTCCGGCTGGTTTCACTTTTTAGATTCAAAACCACAAACCTCAAAGGGCACGCAATACTGCCCAGCGAGCCTACACTTCCCTAATTATTTTGCTTTCTCAGCCTCTAAGAAAGTGATTTCACAGTTCTCTCTTTACACTTCCAACTCTCCCTCTACCGAGTACCACGGCTTTCTGCCAGTAAATGAATGACTCCCAGACCTACAGCTCTAACTGAGACACCCCAGGGTTCCCAACAGTGCAGCCAACCGACCTTGATATCCCTCCCTGCATCTGAGACAGAAGTCTTCATGCCCCCTCCAGACTGACTCCTCCCGCAGCACGCTCCACCTCAGCAAACGGTGTCACCATTGCTCCACGTTGCCCAAGGTAAGTAGGTCTTACCCTTCATTTCTCCTTTTCTCTCAGCTTCCACATTTAACCCCTTACTAAGTCATCCCTATAACCTCCAAAATACATCCCAAATCCATCCTTTCCTCTCCATCTCCACTGCCAGCACTAAGATAAACCGCCCATATCCCCCACCAAGCCTACCACGCAGCCTCCTGCAGGGTTTCACTACTTCTACACCTACCCAACCACCACCATCATTCTCCACAAATCAGCCAGAAACATACCTCCAGGAATGCACCAGCTGTCATTCCTCTGCTTAACACACATTGATGGTTCCCTGAGACTCAGGTAAAAACACAAGACTGGCCTGGCCAGTGTGGCTAAGCGGCTGAGCATCAACCTATGATCCAGCAGATTGTGGTTCAATTCCCGGACAGGGCATGTGCCCGGGTTGCGGGATCGATCCCCAGTCTGGAGCGCACAGGGGGCAGCGATCAATGATGACTCTCTCATCATTGATGTTTCTATCTCTCTCTCCCCATCTCCCTTCCTCTCTCTGAAATCAATAAAGATATATTTAAAAAACAAAACAAAAAGCACACAAGACTCTTTGCCACGGCCTTCGAAGCCTGCACTCCAGCCCTCTGTAGTCAAGCAGGAAGGTTAAGGGATGGAGCAGTAGTTGACACCTGGGGCTGGCAGAGACTAAGGATGAAGGAAGAGGCTGCCAAGCAATGACAGGGGAGATTGGGCTTTTTTCATTATTATTATTTTATTAGTTTTCATAGGTCCTATATGTATAAGGTAGAAAGTTCAAAAGGCACCAAAGGGATATATATGGTGACATCTCGCTCCCTGTTCTCGTCACCCTGTGCTATGCCACAGTTCTTCTGCAGTCTGTACATTCCAGCAGAGCCCTTCACACTCACAGATGACATACGACACACACATCCTGCCCCATTTTTCCCTTCACTTATCAGAGGCTGGGGGTCTGCCCGTTCCAGTCTATGGGACATCTGGGTGGGTCCCCATCCTTTGCCAGTACAGTGAAGTGTGGCACGTTCCCGCCCCACCCCCTGCCCACCTTGCTCCCCACCCTCCCCAGCACCGTGCCTCCACACTCACTCCCATCTCCCCACACCTACTCCCTTTCTTGCCCCTGAGGCCACCAGGCCCCTCCTTGCTTTGGGCCTTTGCATTTGCTGTTTTGCAGCCTGAAATGTTTCTCTCCTGGTTCTTTGCAAACAGCTTGCTCTTTTGTCTCCCTGGCTTGTCCTCAAAAGTCATCTTCTAGAGTGACCTGCCCTGATCACCCTCTTTAAAATGGTCTCCCTCAGTTACTACCTCTCATCTGTTTTTTCCCTTTATAGTACTTATCCCAGTCTAATTATCTGGCTGACTTGTTACCTGTTTATTGCTCATGTACAATCTCCACACAAACAGTGACCTTATCTGTCCACAGCTATATCCCCATGTCCCAGGAGGACATTCAGAACGAGTAAAGATGTTCTGAATGAATGACTTTGACCGATGACCAACCCTGAAGGCTTTCAAAGCGCCAGGCACTGCGCTAGGTACTTGTGATGCTTTATTGCATTTACTTCTCACATCATCTTACAGACGAGAAAACAGATTTTTAGAATCTTTCTCTCAAGAGATGAAGCAAATATTCAAGCCCAGACCTGACTGTAGCCCCTAGAGTATGCTGCACAGGAGGGAAATGTTAAAATGTAAAATATCCCAAACTGGGTAAAGCACAGTAATTAGAAATATTTCACCTTAAATGTAGACATATAAATCCAGGATGGAAAAAAGTGCACCGTATTAAACAGCATTAGATGGGCAACTACTTTACTTCCCAGACTTCGGCTTTTACGTTTGCAAAGTACAACGATTATGTGTACTCAACGCACAAAGAGGCAGGTGAAAAAGTATTGCACGCATCGCTGAGCTCACCTGTTCTGACAGTATTGTGCGTGCTGTAATTTAACACCCCTGCACTCGAAATTTATACAAGAATCTTTTTAATCCCACGTTATCTCATTTGAAGCCGTCTACCTACACCACATAAATCCTTTTATTCAAAACTCAAGCCTCCCTTTCTCCTCCAATTGTTTCATTACTGCAAATGTAAAATAACCTAGCACTGAGCTGAAAAATTCCCTCATTTTACTCCAGGGTTCCCCAAACCACATTCTTCCTACTCATTTTGAACACCCTCCAAAGGCAGTAAGTTTTCAGGGTGAAAATCTTTCCGTCTCCTGGACAAGCGACTCACACCCCAGTGGAAGGGCACTGCTGGGGCATTTCATCTTCCCTGATGAAGTGGGACGAAAACAGGCCCTTCAGTAACACACTTGATCGGGACAGCTACAGAGCAACGAGAAGCGGCACCCACTTTAATTTTAAAGTGCTGTTTCTGGGTCGTTTTCGGACAGGAACCGAGGATTAGCCGAAGCATGATGTCATCTGAAGCCAGCCACGTACGGCCCACAGGAAAGTATATAAAGTGCGAGCTGGACTCCAAGACCCTCCACTGAATTAACTTCTCTGGGCCTCAAAGGCCTCACTTAAAGATCCAATGAGATAATGCACAGAGTTCCTAGCACAGGGCCCAGCACCCAGTACAAGCCAAGAATGGGAAAGAAATTCAAGCACCGAGACAGCGGAGAGGCGGCGGCGATGAAGGAGGCGCTTGGCTGGTCCCGGGACGGTCTCCTCTCCCTAGGAAAGCGCTTCGTGCGGCGCGGGGCCGCGGCGCCCCCGCAGTCTCCTAGTCCAGAAGGCCTGGGGGCCGCGCTCCCATTGTCCTGGGCCGACCGTGAGGGCGGACGGACCGCGGTCTGCAAACAAGACAATGACGGATACGTAACTGGACCAAGTTCCCCGGCTGAGCCCACGTT